CACTATAATTTCATGAATTCTAATATCCATTAGTCACAATATATCTTTATCTGATCACTTTAATTGATTAATATCCTTTAAACAATAGCACCACACATTTCAATATACAACGTGTGACCCTATATATGTTAAAATTATACAACATCTATGTGGTTTCTTTTCAACAAAATCACATGTGAAGATGTCAAGTATAAATTGAAGTCTTGGACTAGCCTCAGCTGGGAGTCAAATATGAACCAAAATATGAATTTACCTCTTAAATCAAACAAAGAATCTTCAAAGTTGACAGATAGTCAAAGAAAATGATGGTTTCCACTGCCTGAAGTGAAGCTTCCTCCAGCAAATATATAATTTTTTTCTTTCTCAAAAGCATCTAACCACAGGAGATGACAAGAAATCAGTAGCAACATCTCTGTCATTTATTAGATAACCAGATAGAAGTTTCAACCAAATTGTAGTAGTCAGCCAAACAAATTAAGCGACTTTTCAACGCTTCAAAAACCACTAGTCAGTATAAGTTAACAACCCTCAAAGCGAATTAAATTTAAAATCAGAGAAGACGACGAGAAATTAGCGGCAAAACTCACATTCATTAGAAAACTAGTAAAAAATTTCAATCAAAACGAATCACATTCGTACCAATGAAGCTTCTTTGATTGCATACCGTCTCCTCCAGTTATTCTGCCAACCATGTGAAAACAATCTCAAGTTAGTTATCTTCAAAGTTGGCGGCAAATCATATACATTTCCAGATGGAATATATTAGATGAATTTAAAAAAACTGTACTTTGTGAAAAATCTTAAGCTAGCCAATATCTTGGAACATAATCCGAGTGCCCACGAGTTTGCAGTCGTTAGCATTCTTCAACACTTGTGCAGCACAGGATAAATTTACGAGAAACAGGGTTAATTTTTTACCCTAATAAATGAAATTCTATAATGTAACTGGAAAGCAATTTTAATGAAAATAAACAGATGCCAAGATCCTTTCCTTGAGCTGAACTGAATCAATCTTTTTGTGCTAAAAATTTGTTTATACATCTGTACCAGTATTTTAAAAATCTTCAGGAACCAAATTTAATTCCACGAGGAATACAACAAAAAGTTCTGCTTTCAAATAAACGAATTACACAGAGAGACCAGTAAGAACTGTAGGATTAGCATTGAAATTAACTGATTCAAATTACCAAATATAACAGAGTTGGGATGTAAATAGCCATTACAGAAATTCAAGATGTAAAGATTGGGGGAATCTAAATAATCGAAAAAACTGATTGATTTTCTTTCAACTATCCACTAGAGATTCAACAACATTTTGAACCGTAGGAATTGTAGTAGATAAGGGTTTACAACAAACACTCAAAAATCCTATTTCACAACTAGCTTAGCTCTGGCATGGCCTTGAGATATTTGGAATTGCTCAGTAATGCCTAAATGTGCCATCAAAAGCCAAACATGAGTGAGAAACTCTCCACCCTTTCGAAGCTGGCGAGCATGGTGATTCCCTCTACAATGAGTAGCTGCATATGCCAGCATCTCCACCCATAATTTACTTATTTTCTTCCATCTGTCTTCCTTTTCTGCTAGCAAAAGCTTAGCAAGCATGCAGGCATCAAACAAAACAGATTTGCTCCTGTCCCCCTTCACTTTAGCCGGTAGCACTTCTGTGTTCACTTGAAGCAACTTCTTGCAGGCATTGGCTTTGCCATATTTCAGATTCCTTTCTCCCAGAAACTCTCTGGCTTCTGCGCATGTATCACGGAACCTGATCATTCCAATCCCTATTGGCAGCATAAAAGGACATGACACGAGAAGATACAACATATAGTCTGATATGTGCTTGCTAAGATCTAATGACTCCTTTCTTTCTATGGAATTCCATTCTAAATAATAGCAGATATCAGTAGCGATGTGCCACGAAAGAATTATCCGATCAAATTCTCCCTCTTTAGTTCTATCCATTAAGAAATGGCCATACTTTTCCGGGGTAAAACTTCCCCGTCCATTCCACGAAACTGCAAGATCACATCTATCAATTTCTGTGTGCTTCAATTCTTCAAATATTAGATCATTTAAAGCTGGAGAGACATCCACATAAGTCTTGTTCCAGTGCATTTCTAGGAAATTATCTATCTGAAGAAGCTTCTGGATACGCCGAAGAATCTTTTGCATTCTTAAACATACTCCTTGGTTGTCAATAAGACAAAGATCTAGTAAATTGTGTTGAGCCATTTTCTTGGACCACCTTCGCTGATTTGCTTGGCATTCATTCCACCATTTATTCCACCGGCCAATAAGAGATGTAGGAGTTTTCTCACGTCTGATCAGCCAATTAGCAGTCCAATCCGAATTTAGCAGATCAAACACAGAATATATTTCGAGGAAAATTGCCACAAACAGCAACGAGTAAGTAACTGCCAAGTCATACTTATGGTACTTGCTCTTGTCACACAGACAGAGAAAAGCCATTAGTGCAAAGCTAGTCAACAAAAATGTTACAAGACGAAGGACAATGGCTGCCGAATTAAACAACTGGGAAGTCTTTGTGTAAAGCACATCAAATGTGAATCCAAGTTCAACCTCAACTACATCAAAAGCAATTTTGGGTGTTAACTTCTGGAAATATGACCGACTGCTGTCTCGATCTTGAAAACTCAGGATAATATCTGCAAAGAGACGCTTAAATGTCTGGAACAGATTATATGCATCTGGTATTAGTTTTAAATCATCACCAGGAAAAAATTCATGAGTTGGAACTGGGATTTCTATAACCTCAGCCGACTCCACAAAGAATCCCTCAGCCTTCTTCAGTGTGAAATCCTCCATGAATTTAGCATAGTTGGGCCCTGAATCAGGCTCCGTGAGCATTGAGTCCCGGAAATTCTCACTGTGCGCTGACCTTAGTGCCCATATTCGCTCTCCATACTTAATTACACCGATTATAAAAATAGGTACGCTTAAAATCGGAAGCCAAGAAGAACCTGGAAAAGCCACCAGTAATATGTAGAAAGCCAATCCAGTCTGAATCACCATTCCCACAAAATGCCTTAACCAAAGCTCATTATCTTCTTGAGAATATGCTGTAATGGAATCAGAGCCCCCAAGATGCAGCAGTAAAAATTGAGCCCAGAACCAAAACAACTGATGAAGTGGATCCTCAGCGTGTTTCGATTCATCAAGAGTATTTTTTGATATGATGCCGAGCGCCACAGTTGCAACCAAGTCTGCCAACAAATAAGCAGACCAAAGAATGATTCTTATCCAAATCCTACAGATATACTTCCTGCGATTACCCAACATAACTAGTAAAATTTGTAGGGTAATACTGAAGAGAATCAGTACCCTTACTTCCCATTTGTTCATAAATTTTATGAAACTGCCTGGAATTACTTGAAAAAGCCCCCTCTTCTCGACGAAAATCAAAGCACTGGATACTATCAAAACAATTATGAAAAAGGTGGGGTCATTACATTTGATTAACTAAACTTTTCTTGCTTCTACTTAAATAAAAATGGCAGATAGTTAGCTAAAAGAATTCGAAAGAAAGTTACAGAAATTCAAGATTAATGCATACCTGTTGAAAGCATCATTGAATTATGTGACCCAAAATTATGCAGAGAACATATACCTCAATAAACTTAAGAATTCAAAATTGGTTAGATAAAAATTTAGAAGAAACTGCGAATATATAATAAAATTGACCTCGACTTGTTTGAGAGGGAAAAACCATGCCTCTCGTACTTCATAGAGGGCAGTCATAAATTCCTGGTAATAACCGGGGAAAAAACGACTGGTTCAAAATCTTAAAGAAAGACCAACGACTTCATTTGACTCGAGGTTAATTCAGAAAACTACACTTTGTGTTCGGTGGGGATTAAAATTAGAATTTTAGTAAATTGTGATAAAAAATTTTGAAATGTGTGGTTAAAAAATTGTACGACCCAAAAAATATGTGATTAATATTAATTATTTGATTTTGACTTGAATTAAAATCAAATTTTAATTCGAACCAAACCGGGCTTAGTAATGCCATTTGTATATGATCATTATCTAGATAACGGTAACTGTGTATGGATAAACTGCGTTCAAAGTGCAGATGCTCTCTCCAATCATTGTTCTAAAACGTTAAGAGCTCAAGCGAGATCTAAGCATAAAAAAAATATTATTTATATTTATTATTATTTAAAATATTTTATCATTTTATAATAAAAATAATACATACTAAATATCTAAAATTATAAAATACTATTAATTAATTGTACAATTTTTAAGTTTTTGAAATGCAAAAGCTAGACAATTTTTCATAATTTCAACTTTCAACTAAATAAATCATATTTAACCGATTTATAGAAATTTTGTATATACTTTTAAAATTTTCAACAAAACGATAAGTCTCAAAAACATAATTACATAATATAGATAGTACAATAATTTAATTCTTATCTAAAATTTTATTGGATAAAGTTATTAAATTAAAATCAAATAAAAGCATTTTAAGAATAGAAAAAAATAAAAAAGTTACTAAATTAAAGTCAAATAAAAGATTTTTGAAAAAGGAAAAAATATATAAAAAATAATAATAATAAAGCTCACCTATGCATGTAGTCGCACATTAAGCAGTCAATTTAGCAGTTGAGCGCTTTATTCGCGCTTATTGCTAAGGCAAAGAGTTTTGCCCCCACCTCGCGTTGGTGTCTAAGGGCGCTTTTTGGAACACAGTCTCCAAACCAATTTCTGAATGCATGTGAAAATGATACTTTGACTGAACTTCAAACTTTTACATTAAGCCCATATTTTGTGTGGATTAAAATGAGATTTTTGATATATTTTAATAATAGTTGATGAAGTATGTGATTAAAAAATTGTGGATCCCATTAAATGTATAATTAAAATTAAATTGTGATTTTGACTTGAATTGAAATTTTGACTTTAATTTCCACCAAACACGACGTAAATTAGAGGAATCAATATTTTGCACCAATATTTATCTGGTGTAGTATATAGAGTTTTAATTATTTTTCATTTCAACTTCGTTTAGTACAATAAAATATAATTTTTATTAAATTATTTTAACATCTTTTATTATTTAATAATTTATTTTAACTTATTTTAATTTTAAATTGATTATTATTTTACTAATATTCTTAATTATATAGTAATAAATAATAATTACTATATACAATAAAATTATTTTTAATTAAAATTTTACAAAATTAGAGTCTCTTTGAGCCCTATTAATTGTCCAAAATGTATTTTATAATAATATTTTAACAAAGAATGTATGTTTAAAAAATAAGGAAAATTTTTTATGTTTACGTGTAATATTATTTTATTGAAAAATGCATGATTGAAAATAAGAGTGAAAAATATAGTTTGAAAAATAATGAAAATCAAACAAGGCTTAATAGCATTACAACAACATAAGATACTGCAAATTATAATGGGGTGCGTCAAGCGTACGAATTATGAAATATGGATTTGATCCTTGGGTAAGTGCAAGTGTATAATCAGTCTTCCACCCTATACCCTTGGAGNGCAAATAATAATGGGGTGCGTCAAGGATTCGAATCCTGAAATATAGATTTGGCCATTGGGTAAGTGCAAGTATACAAGCAGTCTTCCACTCTGTACCCTTGGAGGCATAATCTACGATTTATCTCCTTCACCAAGGTCCAGGGCAGAACAGGAGAGAGCCGCCAAGGATGCGATTCATCCTTTAATAATAATGGGGTAAATCATATCTGGATCATTTAAACCATTGAAATATTGATCAAAAGGATTATTGTAATTTGAAATAATTGACCTTGTTGTCGAGCTCTTTTTTACATGATTCTTTATTGTATATTTAGATAAAATGCACGTAGATTTGGATCCTTTATTGAATGGGATAATTGTAACCACAACTTCAAACCTCAATCTTTTATTTGTTGCACTCGTGATTTCAAAACCTTCAATTGTGTGTGGTAGAAGGACATATGAATGGAAGCTATCATCCATTTTTCCGTTAGTTGACTAGAAGCATATTTTTTAACGATTTGAAAGAGGGCAAAATAGAAATTTCAAATTTACCATATTAAACGATTAAAATAGTTAAGTAAGAAAAAAATAATAAAATTAAATCATCTTCCCCCAGTCCCAATCCCAATCCCTATCCCTAGCTCGTACTCACAAAAACAATAAAAAATGGAACTGGATCTTCTTCAGCTACCGTCACCCACCCTTCGTCACTGTCCACCTGCCACAGCCACCTACCAACAGTAGTTGAACACATTCATCGTCACTACCACTCCCTCAATGTCATCCTATTCATCTTCAAGAATTCAAAGAAATCGTCAAAATTGGAAAAGAAAAGCCCTCATCTAATTCCCCACGGAATGTTCCAAAATCCCCCAAATATGCTTTTTGATTCTTCAACCTACGGCTCCGCCTCAAGTTCTCGTTCTAGTTACAGCCTTGACACCTCCGTCTCGAGCAGCACCTCCTAATCCAGCCTCCATGAAACGCTGTCGGAAAGCACCCAGATTTATGACTTCTCGGATATTCGCACCGCCACTAACAATTTCCTCTCCAAACGCTACTCTTCCTCGTCCTTCTCCCATTCATGGCAGTCAATTCTCACCGGCAAAGACGTCATCATTTTCCAACGTAAGCTAAGACAATCCATGGGTATTTTCGACGTTTAAACAGAGGTTGTCTATGATTAGCAAGAGCCAGTACATGAGCATAGTCAAACTCCTCAGCGTTTCAATTTCATCTGACCTTATTTACCTACCCTGTTTGGTTCGGATTAAAATCGAATTTTAATCAAATTAAAGTCAAACAATCAATATTAATTATATCTTTCATTGTCTCACAACTTTTCAATCACACATCTCAAAAACTTCTATTACAGTCTAATAAAAATCTAAACACCCTCGTAGTTCATGATTTCGTTAAAGGATCTGATTTGAGAGAAATCCCGAATTTATTGTGCTTTCTAA